CGATCAATTTAATTACTAATTTCAATTCGAGACTTAACATCACCTTCGACTTCTTTGTCGTCGTCGTCCATGCTAACGTCGCTCAGATCGGTGATATTAGGGTGCAAGGAATTGGTCGGTTCAGGTGCTGAGATATTCAACGCCCTTCCCCTAAACGACATCGTCTCCTCCGTTAAGCGTTCGGTGGTGTTCTCAGGTGTCGACGACGTGTCGTCGTTCACAGACGATTCCACGGTGGACGAGTTTGTTACGGTCACGATAGGTTCGCCACGAAACAGAAAGGGAATGGTGAATCCCACCGTTTCCATCGATCTCGTGGTCATCTCTTCCATCGAGTTTGTCGTCGACATCGAGGCCATCGTCGTAGTAACGGCGTCCGTGCTTTCTCCACGCTTCGAGTCATCGTCCTTGAAGGTTTTCTGGTACTTTTGCTCGGTCTTGATCTTGAAATCCACCGGCTTCTTCTTCGGCTCGATCGTCGTTTTCGACTCTTGCTCTTTGCTCGGGTACTCCAACTTCCGGTCCGTCGTCGTGTCGTTTCTGCCGTCGACACGGAGAGGTTCGACACCTGGCACTTCTTCAACGACGGCGCCTGAAACATTCCACGAATACATATCGCATTAACCGAGTAGAGTAACTTCCGCAACGATGTTCTCGCCGATTTAACAGCGGAACAAAGTAGCCGGAAGAGCAACGCAACGGTGAAGAGATTCTACGATATTCTTCGCGTTTAGTCCGCGAACCCTGGATAAAATCGATCCTGTTAACGCTCAATTATCGGTTATCAGCTAACGAGTGGTAATTAGTTTCTATTACACTGCGGCACGCGAATCTACGCTCTGGTGTATAAATCGGCGAGGAATTAGCTGACTTGGAGAGAGGATAAACGTGTATCGAAGTAACGAAACTTCGTTAATTAGAGATCGTAGAAGAAATCTTTACCTTAACAAACTTCTTGTAAACCTTGTAATTAATTCGAGTTGCGATTTAATAACAACGGTTTACTTCTGCAGCTCTTTGCTATGCCGTTTCTCGAAAACGTTCATACCGGCCGAATAAAATTCTTTCGTTCGAACGTACCTTTCAGCAAATTTCCAACGCGATTATCGACAGTTCGAACTGCAATTTGAATCGAGTCGTGCCCGATATACGTGCTCGCGTTACTTTCTCTTCGCCGATGTGTATCCTTGTCTGCTGATTCGTTGCAAGATAACGAACTTTGTATTACTATTATTACCACAATTATTATCGTGTTCCGCGAATCGACGATGTACCGAAACTGCGCTTACCCGAGAAGAGCTCCGCGAGTCGCGGCCATCTTTACGGTCGCACGGGAGTGCCATCTGAGCCGCGTCTCGTAGACGAAAGAGAGGAGAATTCCTCGAACAACAGCGTGTTCGATTCGTTTTGCAATTTCATCGTGTTCGTGGCTGAAGAAGTTGGTTTATGTTTTTGTTAAAAAGCACACTCGACGATCGAGTGTCGCGTCACAATTCCGCGAGGATTTCTTCGAGCTTGGTTTCTCGATCGATAGATAGGATGAATTATTTTCCGTATATATATATATATTCGTGTTCGTCACAGTTGCGATTTAAGGAACGGTGGCACGATCCATCCAGTGAGAAACGGGAGGAGGATCGTTATTTCATGGATGTTTCGCAACCATGGAGATCTGACTGATACTATGACGAGGCAGAAACTTTCCATCCGGGGCTGAAACGCGCTCTCGGGACGCGCTGTTACGTCAAACGAGCTGGCCGATCTGCTCGTTCCCATCGACCGCTTCTTTCGCCAATTTACCCGTGCTGGAGTTGGAGTTTTTGTTAGAGAGAGACCGGCCGGCGGGCAGGCTCGCGCGAAAATAGAGTAACAGTATCGCGAGCTCCTTCCGGGAACTCTTAGAGTTAATCGTTTAAATCACCTGTCAGATGTTCCGTTGTACTTGGATTAGGTTGTAGCAAGACATTTTTCGTAGTCGTGGAACTGTGCTGAAATTCTAGATCCTATTCGCAAGTTCAAGCTCCAATTGTAATTTTCGAATTCGAATTGAAATTTTAGAATTGAAATGTTCAGGCTCGAATTTCGAAACCAAATTTAAATATTTAAGTTCGAATTCAAATAACTCAAATTTTCCAATTCAAATGCAAAGTCAAATATTCAGGTTCAAATTCAAATATTCAGGCTCAAGTTCAAATTTTCAATTTCAAATATTCAGGTTCGAATTCAAATTCAAGTATTTCAGTTCGAATTCAAATAATTCAAGTTCAAATGCAAAGTCAAATATTCAAATTCAAAGTCAGATATTCAGGTTCAAATTCAAATTGACATCTTGAGTTCAGTTCCAATCGAAATAATTCAAATTCATATACGAATCAAGTTGGACAATTTCTCTCCGCCAAGCAACAGAAGCGAATGCTGCAGGGTACTTTTTCAGCTTTTCAGGTCAACGTTTGAACGAGTCGGGAGCAGGAAGCCGAGACGATTGGTCCGGTGCCAGTATCGAAAGTCGAAGAGGCGGCCGTGACTTTTATCGCTGTATGAATGGGGAACCGTAACGGTGCGACCGGTTCACACGAGGCCATGGCTCGTCATCGGGATCCACCTGACGTTCCTGCCCGTAACGATTTTACGTGCGTAAGTAGGTGACGGTCTCCTTTTCCGTCCACTGGCATGCATATGCATCGATGCTAGCCCGAAATCGAATCCGGCCTCCCTTCGACGCTGCCAACGTTCTACCGTATATCTCTTATTAACTAATTTCATTTACCGCACAAAAATCGCAAATTATGCTCGCATTAACTTCTAAGAAAGCAAAAGAAACTTTCTTCAATTCTCCAAGACCTTCAAACACGAAATTGCATCGCTCGAGAGGACAGTAACATATCCAAACAGCTGAAAACAGTTGTATTTATATTATCAACGCAATTTGTTCGCGTTGCTATCGGGCAATGGCACAGGACCCTTGGAAAAATCGCGTTCACCGCGCGAAAAGGATCCACCGAGCCGAAGGTCGTCCGGTGCAACCATACTCGATCTCGTGCACCACGATGCATATTGCATCGAAACTGAACCGTGGCTGAAAAGTTACGGTATATTCCGGTAATGTTTGGTAATTACGATTCAACCTGGTAAACGGTATTTCAGCTGATCTTCCACGACTTCGAACTTCCATTGTTCTCTCTTGTTCACCGTCGACCAACGAATTCGATCGCTCCAAAGTCTATACTTTTCCCATCGTCGAAGTTCCTGTCGAAGAACTGCTTGGTTCTCGAACGAGCTTCGGGTAGATCGTTTCGACAAGGTCCTTCGTTGGTGAATATAAAACCGGGACCAAACGTTTTCGACGCTATCATTACGGAAGATCTGTTTCCTTTTATAAGAAACCACTTGGTTTGAAGCCCTGCAGTGGCCGCAGGCCAAGAAAGTCGGCCGTGGAACGCGGAATTACTCATCGCGCATTAAGAGGATCTTCACTCGGCTTCCTCGTCGCCGGAAGTTGCGCGTCGTCCGTGAACCACCGAACAGTGTTCGACCGCGTTTAATTGTTCCCCGTGATTACTGGAAATTTAAATTGCCTAATTTTTCCATCGTTCCACCTTCTCTGTTGTAGTTTTCTTCAAAGTTTGAGAGAGTTTCTGTCGGAAGACAAATGGAGGTTTCTTCAATTTTCGTCGATTATCAAAAATTTCCATCGTTCCATCTTTATTATAGTTTTCTGACAGAGGAGAGCTGGAGGATGCTCGAATTTCCGTCGATTACCAAAAATTTCCATCGTTCCACCTTTGTTATAGTTTTCTTCAAAGTGTGAGAGACTTTCTGTCGGAAGAAAAAAGGAGGATTCTTCAATTTTCGTGGATTACCAAAAATTTCCATCGTTCCATCTTCTCCATTACAGTTTTCTTCAAAGATTAAGAGACTTTCTGTCGGAAGAAAAATGGAGGATTCTTCAATTTTCGTGGATTACTAAAAATTTTCATCGTTCCATCTTCTCTATTACAGTTTTCTTCAAAGATTAAGAGACTTTCTGTCGGAAGAAAAATGGAGGATTCTTCAATTTTCCTCGATTATCAAAAATTTCCATCGTTCCATCTTTATTATAGTTTTCTTCAAAGTTTAAGAGACTTTCTGTTGAAAGAAAAGAGGATTCTTCAATTTTCATGGATTACCAAAAATTTCCATTGTTCCATCTTCTCCATTATAGTTTTCTTCAAAGTTTAAGAGACTTTCTGTTGAAAGAAAAATGGAGGATTCTTCATTTTTCATGGATTACCAAAAATTTCCATCGTTCCATCTTCTCCATTACAGCTTTCTTCAAAGTTTAAGAGACTTTCTGTCGGAAGACAACTCTGGAGGTTTCTTCATTACCAAAAACCCGATAAATTCGTGAAATCGTCTGTTGGCGACACGAGAAATTTTCCACCTCGTAAATAAGTCGTTATCGATTTCAGTTTCGAGCTGGTTAATTACGTTAGCACTTGGAGGCACATCGTCGGACAGCGTTTCTTCGCTGCGGCGTGAGTTACACGTTCCTGTGTGCGTTCGCGGAACAGTCGGTCATAAGCCAACGAGCAGAGAAACTCTCGCGGTAGCTTCTGTCGTTACTCGCCGAGACCTTGAACCGTAGTTTCTCGGTAGAGGAGCCAAG